AGTTTTTATATATTCACTTTCAAGTCTTTAATTTAATGGGTTTATTTGGCCACTCCTATGGTATAACTATTTCATTATAACGCAAAAAAAAAAAGATTGTAGGGTAGTCAGTACAGTCAGACTTCCATTTGGTGAAGCTTCCCTCTCAGTATATTCTCATTCTTTTTGAGTGAGATTGATAGCTCTTACTTTGTCTCAAAAGCCTCCAAAATTGATTTCTAAAAGGAAAACCTTTAGAAAATATTTATTCCCTGAACTAGAACAAATTGCACATAATATTCAAATATATTGCGAATCATTTAAAAATCATGTACAAATTTTTAAAATTCCACCTTTTTGCTTCAACTAAGGACATTATACAACGGTTTTCAAGTAAAATCCTCATTGCACTGACATCATAAATTGGGATTAATTTTCTATTTTTCTTCCTTTTCACTTCGTTAGTATATGTTTGCAGTACATAATGAACATATTTATCATAGGGGCTTTGTACATGTCCAAACATATCTGAATGCTTTATTTTATCTCTTTCTCCTCCCCTCCTGCCACTCCTTCTCCCCTTCCCTGTTTTCAAAAAGCTCTATTCTCATTTTTTCTTTGATTAATTTTTCCCTTTAAAGCCTTTTCCCTCCTTTCCTTCACCCTCCCCCATCTCTTGTTCATCTTCCAATTTGAACAAGTTCTTCCTACTTCCTAAAATCAAGCCTCTAGTTTTCTCATTATTTATATTTTTGGTTTTTCACACAGGAGAACAATGCAGTATTTATACTTGTGTTTTTGATTTATTTCACTTAAGGTAATGGTTTCAAGGTGCATCTATTTACCTGAAAATCTCTTGTTTATCTTTCTTTATAGCAAAGTAGCATTCCATTGTACATAAATCCTACTTTTTCTTTATCCATTCATCAGTTGGTGGGCATATGGCCTGTTTCCAAGATTTAACTACTATAAAGTGTACTGCTATAAATATGGGTATGCATGTATGTCTTTTCTAACTGCTGAGATTAAGAGTCGTTGGATATGCAGTAAGACTTTCATTTCCTGGCACTAGTAGGGAGGTCTAAAGCTATTCAACTCTGCCTGTGGCTGGGAGAAATATAAAGAAGTCTTTGTAGTCTTCTACTAAGCATGCACTCCAATTCAGTTTTATTACTTATAAAGGAGATGTTTTCATCTCCATTTGTATGATTACTGTGCCTATCTCTCAAGTTCCTATAAACTTGCAAAGAGAATAAAAGTATTTTTTGAAAAAATATTTTTATGATTCTTCAGAAACTTCAATGGTAAAAAGATGGTGAACTATAGTACAATTTCCTTCTGAAATGGAAGACATGACCTATACACATATGTGTAGAATTAGAAGAAATTCATAAGGTAAAATAGGACATAGTTTACCAGGATGTGTATTGTGATCTCTAAGACAGGAAAGGAGATTTGACATTCCACAGTGGCAACTTGCAGGTCTCTTCAATGATGATGTAGAGAAAGATTTGGGATATTCTGATGACCTTTTCTTAATAGTAATGAGCACACAAAATAAGACCAATTGATTGTGCAATTGTATCAAAAATCATCACACAGCACTCTTTTCCATTTCAACTCCCTTATTTGCAAATTTTATATCACTTATTAGATTTGGTGAATGGGAAATGGGATGTGATAAATGCATTAAATTTTGAACAGTTCTTTACCAAGACAATGCACAAGTGGAAGCACCATTGCATTATCAGTCCTTTACCAAGATGGTGCACGAGTGGAAGCAGCGTTTAATTTCTACCACTACTTTAAGAGCTAGTAGATTTTGACTACATAAAAATAAAGAGCAAAGTAGAAGAGAAGCAAATAGGAAGTAGGGAGAAGGTCAAATACTTCTCAAATTATGTATTCTATTGTTTCAAAAACATTTCAATACAAATGCTCATTTGTTTTATTTATACTAATAGTTCATCTTACTTCCTTGACAAGAAAGTTTGTGTTTTATCAATGTGTTACTTTTCTGTAAAAATCTTTTTGGTTTATGTTTCATACTAAAACCTACTTTGAAGACAATGATATACAGTGTAATAACTATAACTTTTGTAACTCTCATATCATTTGGGTTTGAAAATTTGTTTTATTTTTCCCAAGATAAAAAGAAAAAAAAAGCATAAGTGAATTACCCAAGTTATAAGCAGTCCTTGAAACAAGGAAACGAAAAGGAAGCAATAATGAAGTGGACTTGTATCCATTTTCTTCTGAACTCTTCAGTTTGTTATTCATCATCCCATTGTGCCCCATCCAGATGCCATTCAAGCTAGAGCTTTTCATTATCTTAAAATAATAGATTTTAATTGTAAAAAAAAAAACTTATTAAAATGGCAACTTTCATTTGCCAAAATACTCTAACAAGGGTTGAAGGAGTGTTCCAAGGATGTGAAGGTAATAACAATAAATTATCAAGATTTCTTTTGATCACTTTTTAATTTTTCAGTGGAGATGTTATAAACATTGTACAGTCAGTCTGGGGAGTGAAACCACATATGTGTCATCCATGCTTTTTCATAGATGTGTCTCTGCTACAGGAAAAACTCAAGTGAAACACAAAAGGTGAAGTACAATGATTCTTACTTATTTTTCTCATGCTTTCTCTATATAAGAAAATTTTCATGACATATTTGTCTAACATACCAGAATACAAAAAATTCTCAACAGAACAACTGCTAACATACTGTCATTAACAAAGTGAGCTGATAATTAAACTTACCATTTTTGAAAAACAATAACAGCATATGCACTAGAATGGCCAGAGTGAATCAGTTAAAACACAAGAAAAAATTATAACTGCTCTGCTACAAATAGTAAAATGGATCAATGAAGCATCAAAGGCAAAAGAAGAAATCACACTCTACAGAATCTGATAGCCTGGCTATACTATCTCTCCATATTCAAGACCCTCCAGCCAATTTCATATTCTGTTTCTTACTTTTTTTTTGTTTCTTCCTAGTCATTGTTAGTATTGAAATACTGCACATTTATTTCTCTTGGCTACTGCCTGTCTTCCCTGCTAAAACGAAAGTTTCATGAAGGTAGGATTTTTCTGAGTCTTTTATCAGTTGTTGTATCATTAGCACGTGTGCCTAGAAGAGTTCCTAGAGAAATGCTTATGCAAATATTTGAGGGATGAATTAGGAAAAAATTAATTTAAGAAATAAACAAGCTCAAAGCAAGAACTGAGACAGATAACCTTGGGTTTAGCCTAAAAGTCACAAGTGAAAATTCCTCAAGGTACAACTGGGCTTTGAATTACAGTGAAGCAGACTAGCAAGAAGAACATGCAGCTGGAGAGTTCATTCTGACTCTAAGAGGGTCTGGGTGAAACCACAGACCCACATTCTTATATCCCTGTTAGAACATTGGCACAGATCAATTTTTTTGCTTGTTTTTATTTTGAGGAGAAGCCAGAAATGGATTCACATCATGTGTATTCTCCCAGAGTTCAATATACTTAATTTAAACTAGAGAACAGTAAAAACTCACAGGCCAAACATGACAGGACAGCAGTTGAAATTGGCCTACAGGGATAGGTTGGGAAAAATTATGTGATATATGAAAGAAAATACTATTTGTGATGTTGAAGTGGGCAGATGCCAAAAAAAGCATAGAGCACCAAGTATTGCTCATACCCTGGAAAGACATTAGGATCAACCCTTTGATGCCCCAGCAGGAGGATGACCACTGATGGGACTGCTATACCTGGGTTCAGCAAGCTTCCATCTTTCTGGATAGCATACTCTTCCACAGCCCAGTTGTTATGGTTTGTGTCTCTGTGTCCCCCCAAAGCCTTATGTAGTCATGGGGCAAGATTTTAGTTTGATTGATTATGGGTGTGAGAGCTACACCTGCCCTGGGGTGGATAGTTTGCATATGAAAGGGACAGGAAGAGGCTGCTTGTGGCCATTCCTCCCTTTTAATGTTTGTTGCTTTTGCAGTGTCCTGCCACCATGAGCTGTAGCCCTCTGCCATGTGCCACTCTGCCTTGTAACCTGCCAAGTATGGACTAAAACTTCTACAAACTGTAAGCAAAATAAACCTTTCCTTCCTTAATTTTCGGCATCAGGTATTTTGTCCCACCAACGAGAGAAAAGTAACCAAGACACCAGTTTATGGAGAACCCTGTTAATGACTTTAAGCTCACAATTGAGGTTCTGCTCCGCAGGTGTGGCACAAACTCCCTGAAACTAGAAAGGCACTGTAGGTATAAACTTGGCTCTTGCTTAACTCCTCTGAATCACCCCCATCCAAACACTCTTCTAGAGAACTTTCACTGCCTCTGCTTTCATAGACAGTTGTCACTTTCTTTGCACACAAAGCCAGGGAGGTCATTCTGGATAATGCTAGGAGTCCAGCTGATTCCTGGGCCTAAACACTCCTTATGGGCCCCACTCTCCACCCCTCTTTTACTGTGTTCTCATTCCCTCAGTCAGTCTCTCTTCTTAGAATTGTTCCTTGCTCAACATCCCTTCCTTTCTCGCCTGATACCCACCCACGACAGACCCTCTCTTTGTGTGTCCTACAACCTCTCCCCAGAGCCCAACCAACTGGATCTCTCTCCCCTTGCTCTGGACCTCTTGCAAGCACTCTTCTGGCCCTCTCTACACAGTTCATTCTGTTTTCCTCTAAGCCCCAAGATCTCACTCTCTGTTCTCCTTCACTCCTTTCCCAACTGGGTGCACCCCGTTCACAGCTCATCCCTCTTTCAGGGAGCCTCTCTCTCCCTGACCCCTGTTCTCCTTTTCTTAAACAGTCACCACTTCCTCTCCCTTCCCCTACAGCCCAACTCTAGTCCCTCCCCTCCCCCCTTATACCAGACCAGCTACATTCCATTCCATTCTCAGATAAGTGATGATAGTGTCTTTGCTGCACTTTATTCACAGGCTGAATTGATAGCTCTTCCTTCTTTGCAAGCCCCATCCACCACACACACTCAGTCTTTTCAAGAGAAAGTGCCTATACACAGCATGTCACATCCACATAAATTTGTATTTTTCAGAACAAAACAACAGTTATGCTGGTCATCAGGGACCCTTACACTTTCAATGCAGTGAAAAGCAGCATTTTTTGGCATGTCTACAAATTATGGATTTATGTCCACAAATGTGGTAAATTTTACCCCAATGTTTAGGACTTCTTCACCAAATCATAGACATAGATGTGGAAATCATCATCAAACTTGATGAAGTACACAGAAGGTTTGGCTTCCACTTGGTGAATCACCATGCCGATCCTTTTGGAGCCATCTTCTTTGGTATATTCCACATGTTTGCCTATCATGCCATCGACAATTCCTGCTGGCTCCCTCTCTGCTGGAGGAGACTCATTGGACTCTGGCATGATGCGGAGGTCACCTTCTTTATAGTCATCTAGAAGCTGGTACATGTACAAGACAGGATCTTTCTCGTAGGTAATATAAAACCAGGCTTTCATGATAGGTGCTTGGGCTAGAACCATCCCCCTCCATTCATCCTTGGTGCCATGCTCGCCCTCAAACATATGTTCCACTGCTTTGCCAATGATGGTGTTTGCAAGGCTGGCGTCACTAACTTGTGATGATGCCACCTTGTTGGAAAGAATTTTAAGAGACAAAACTCTTTCATCTCTGTGAAGTTCCAATCCATAGACACAGTCAATTCCATCATATTTCACCAGGTAAAGAGAGGGATTTATGGGCACCTGATCCAGAACGGTTCCTTTCCACTGGGTGATGGGCTCATCGCCTTCCTTCCATCCGTGAGAAATTCTGCAGCCCACGATGTTTCTGCGGGGCTGGGATGAAGGTCTGCCCCTCTGCTTCTTCTGGGAAGCTTTCTTCTTGGTGAAGTGTGCAGATCTAGTGGCCCGTCCTGCAGCTGATCTGGTGTGTTGTCCTTCTCCCTCCTGTGTGTTGGGGGTCTTCATGCCTGCAAAGACAGGGAGAGAGGGTACAGACAAATACTCAGCATGCCTAAGGTGAACTTCCCCCTCTAGTGACGTCTCTGTGTACACTTGTGCTGGAGCCTAATACTGTATTTCCCTTGGAGCCTGCCAGCAATGCTAGATTTACTGACTGCTCCCTGCAGTGTGTTCTATCTCTTGCTGGCTTGGTTTTGCTCGCTCTTGCTCTGGCTTGCTAGATTTCATTTGCTTGCTCTGACCCACTAGCTTTCACTCTAGCTGGGGGTTGCTCTGGAGCTGACTGGCTCTTGTGCTCACTCTCGCTGGCTCTTGCTGTCTCGCAGGCTCTTGCTCTTTCTCTTGCTTGCTCTTGCTCTCTCTCTCTCCCCGGCTCTGGCTCTTACTCTCGCTGTAGCTCTTGCTCAGGCTCTTGCTCCCTCTTTCTTCCTTTCTCCCTATGTGCCTCCCTCCCTAGGTCCCTTCTTCCCTCTAGTCCCCCCCTTTCAAGCTGGAGGGAAAGGCTGGAGTGGAGGTTGTGCTGGCTGGGATTAGGAACTCTACAGAAGGAAAAAAGTAAACTATTTTCTCAGTACTCTGCTGCCTCTCCCAGACCTGCCCGTGGAGTGCAGTCCAGATCCTCTGCAAGGGGCTAATCTCTCCACCTCGTAAAATTCCCACTGTCCTTTTGCGTGTTTACCCCAGATGGCTCACAGGACCCCTACTTACTCCTGCTGCCTCCCTGGTGCCCAGCTCCCTTGCTTCCCTGTGCTCATTTCCAAATCCTTGCTTGCTTTCTAAAGCCACTCCCTTTCTTGTTGCCGGCAGCACTCCTCCACCCACGCAAGTCTGGCATCCACCTCTACCCCTCATCTCCTGCCTGATTCCAGCCCATCCCCCATCTTCTTCCTGGTCCCCACCAACAGTCTTGCCCTGCTGGGACTCCACCGCAGGGTTCAGGATCCTCAAGTGCCCAAATCAGACACCTTGCTGCTGCCACTGCTAAGAGCCTTTTCTGAAGGTAAATCAGCAGGCTACTATCCAGCAGAATGTGTACTTACCAGAGCTGACAGGGGAGGATTCTTAGTGGAGAAGATGGTAGTTTTTTAAGAGCAGGAGAGTGTTGAGGATCAGAATTTTCTGTTCATAAGAAAGCTATGGGCTTCCAACTCTTCTCTTGGTGGTTTCCTGCCCTTAGATCACCTTGAACTTCTAACAACTGCTGCTTTGTTTTGTTTCCAATCATTTGTTTCAAATTTCTGACTTATGTTACAGTTTTATTTTTTCTGTGAATAAGGCCTCCCCATTTTGCTAAGTATTGATTTGACAACCTACTAGCTCTGGATGGCCTCCTGGATTCCTTTTCCTCTTTTCAAATTGAGAAAATAAGATTTGTAGGTGACTTTTTCAGTCTTCATAACTTCAGTGACTGGGCCTTTCTAATCCTTTAGCCCCCCCCCCTTGTTTTATATTGGCTTTCTATCTTCTAAAAATGATCAGTTTTTGCATACATTCAAGTTTTTAGAGAAATACAGTATTAACACACATATATAGGGACATAAATCCTTTTATTTATACACAAATATATGCTCATACACAGATATATCACATTTATTTTTCACACCTTTTCTTTATATTCATAGATAAACATATCCATTCAAGGTAATCTCATATATGCACCTTAATCCAATGACATTATACACAAACACTGTTCTCTGTATAAACATACATACTGGCTAATACATACTTCAAGAGTTTCCTTAAAACAGAATTTGTAGGCATATTTTAGATTGGAAGAGTTATTTATGAAAGAAGCACTAGCTTATTTTACTTCAAAGAATCAACAACAGGGATCTCATCTTACTGAATGGTTTTTGCACATCAAAAGCCATCACCAATAGAGTAAACAGAGAACCCACGAATTGAGAAAAAATTTTAGCCAGCTACCCCTCAGACAAAGGATATCTATGTAGAATATTTAAAGAATTAAAAGAAAATCAGGCTCCCAAAATTCAAAGACCCAATCCAAAAATGGGCATCTGAAATGGATGCACACTTAGATGAAGAAATACTAATGGCAAATAAATAAATGAAAAAATGTTCAACATCATTAGTCATTTGAGAAATGCAAATTAAAACAACACTGAGATTCCATCTCACCCCAGAAAGAATAGCTGTCATCAAGAAATCAACCAATAACAAATGCTGGTAGGGCTGTGGGGAAAAAGGAACCCTACTGCACTGTTGCTGGGAATGTACATTGGTGAAACCACTGTGAAAATCAATTTGGAGATTCCTCATGAAACTAGGATTAGAAGTCCCACTTAACACAGCTATTCCTCTTCTGGGTATATCCCCAGAAGAATTAAAAACATCATACCACAGCGATATATGTATACCCATGTTTATAGCAGCACGATTTGTTAGAGCTAAATCTTGGAAACAACTCAAATGCCCATCAACTGAGAAATGACAAAAAAGATGAAGTGTTTTTATACAATGGAGTATTACTCAGCTATAAAAATGATAGACTCGAGGTTTTTGTAGGTAAATGGATACGGCTAGAGATGATACTCATAAGTGAAATAAATCAGACTCACATGTGTAAACATCATATTGTCTCCCTGGTGTAGGAACCTGAAAGAGTAAGTAAAACTCAAAACGTACAATAGATGATATGAAAGAGAAAGAAATGAGGGAAAGAAGAAAAAAGAATGAAAGAAGGTGAAAAAAATATATATATATATATATATATATATATATATATATATATATATATATAAATAGCTGGGATAACCATACTGCTGCTGTCTGATTGTATATTGAAAGGAACAGTTAACACTTAACATTTTTCATATTCTGACCAATTTTTCATGGTTATATCTAGTAGTCTGAGCAAGTGATTTGAAGGCAACAATATGCAATGGAATAGCCATTGGTGAATTCCTACCATCTTGTCGAGTGAAACTCTACATTATCTCCAATGTTTTATCTAATAACTTTTTTATTCTCTTTAATGGTTTGAATAATCTTTCATTCTGACATCCGGTAATCTGAGTAAGCAACGTAGTTGAAGATAACAGTGTGTAATATAACAACAATTATTAATTCTTATCATTTTGTTTTAAAACCCTGTATCACTTTTAATGTTCTTGCTTTGTTTTATTTATGTTTGTGATCTTGGGATGCTACTATTTTTCTTTTTTCTCCTACTCTCTTTAAAATAAAAGCAAAAGAAGAACTAGCTTATTTTAAGCTTATTTATTCTTGAATATGATCATATTTATTTTATTTTGAAAAAACAATTTACTTTTAGTTTTTATGGATGAAAATACAGAAAACCAAGCCAAATATAAAATAAATAAAGAAGTACATATTTGTTTATTCTTGTACTTTAAGATATACTCTATCTCAGTAAGCCAAGGGTATTGCTCCAAACACGATAAAAAGTGAAGAAATTATCAAATTCTTAATTAGAGGTGTCTGTAAACTATGAGAGGAAAATCAGTAGTTGACAACATCAAAATTAAGGCTAGACAATTTTGCATGAGAGTACTAGTATTATAAATTATGTATTAGACTCCCTACATGATGGTTCAATACTTATTTTAGTCCTTTTAAAATTAAACAATATTACAACATTGTTTCACTGCAAAAGTTTATACTAATGCACAATTTATTGGTTGATTCAGAGTACAAACATTTTAAAGTACTACTGGCCCTTTTGAATGGTGTTTTACAAATTACAGTCTAAAATGCAAAGAGTGAAATTTATTAAATGAATTAAGTAACAGTTCATGGATAAAGAAGAAAAATCATTACCTAAATAAAGGGACTATTACTCAATATTAATCATAAATAATAATAATAATTATATAAGCATGAATGTCATTACAAAAATAGGTATTCATGTGCATTGATGCTTTATATATATATGGATATAAATCTGGGTTAACTGGTCAATAAAAAGAGTGTACATATTTTTGTTTATTTTTTTGAGACAGGGTCTTATTATGTAGTTCAGGTTGGCCTTAACTTGCTATATACTGTACGCTGGCCTCGAATTCCTGACAATCCTCCTGACTTAGCAACTCACGTGCTAGGATTATAGGAATGCACTACCATGCCTTGCTTATGATTGCAATTTCTATGCAAGTTTATCTTATTTTTCAAAAAGTGTCCTCACTTTTGATCTTGCTTGTACATTTTTTCTGTTGTGTATAATTTCACGTTATGATTTTGAAAATAATAATATCAGTATATTAAATCATTTAGGATATTTTCAGTTACATATAATAAGATAGTCCCCTAAAATAGATTTATAGTAAAAGAATATTCTTAATAAAGTGTTTCACAAATATTTTAAATTTTATGTAGCTTTAACCTAATTACTCACTGTTTTGGGCCGAATTATGTCCCAGTCAAATTCATATGCTAAAGTTCTGGCTCCAAATACATCACAACATGACCGTTTATAGAGATGACCTTGAAAGTGGCAATTAAGGTAAATGTAGTCTCACATATGTCTTAATCCAATATGACTGCATTTTTTATTTTAAAGAGAAAAAAACAATAACAAAAAATAAGGAAAAACAAAACAATACAGGATTTCAAAGTAAGATGATAAGAATTTTGTTATATTATATATTGTTATCTTCAACAAAGTTGCTCAGATTGCCAGATGCAGAAATGCAAGATTGATCAAACAGGTAAAGACAATAACAAGTAATAAAAAAACATTAGAAAGAATACAGAGCTTCATTAAACAAGATGGTAGGAAATTAAGAAATGGTTCTTAAATTGCATATTGTTGTTTTCAAATTAGTTGTTTCTATTACCAGATATAAGCATGTGAAATTGGTCAGGAGAAAAGAAAAAAATTAAGCAGTAACTATTCCTTTCAGTAAACCAATAGACATCAGCAGTGCACTTATCTCAGCTATTCTTTGTGTGTGTGTGTGTGTGTGTATAGTATATTTTTATCTTTTTTTGATTTTAAAAAGAATATCAAAAACAAAATAACAAAAAGATGTAAACAAAACAACATAAAACAATAAAAATGTACAGAAATTCAAAACAAGATGATGAGAAATCAACAATGGTGTTATCCTACACACCACTATCCTCAAGTAGTTACTCATACAAACAAACACAGGCACGCAAGATTGATCAAACAGTAACACATTAACTCTACCTTTCAATAAACCAATAGAAACTAGTATTACAATTAGCATAGCTTGCCTTGTACCTATTTTTCCCTTTCTTCTTTCTCTTTTTTTTTTCTCTTTTCCCTCACCCCAGTTGTTCTTTCAATTTGAGGAGTTTCTTTCCCTTTAACAGTAGCTATTGTACTTGTCAGATATTATTTACTCTTTCAGGTTCTTACACTAGGGAGGCAATATGATGTTTATACATATGAGTCTGATTTATTTCGCTCATGAACATGGTCTCTGGTTGCATCCAGTTACCTATAAAAGCCTGGAGTTTATC